TGACATTACAACGCGTTATCCTGGTCTTGTTTTCCCGTGTTTTGTTCTTAGCCCTGTTTATCCTTGTCATCCTGTTTCGCCGCCTGCCTTACAACCTATTGCCTGTTTACTGACTACGATTCTGGATTTTCTACATATATCTGTTTGCTCCCGTATTGACTACTGCTTGCCTGACTGTGAATAAACCTGCACATTGGATCCTACCTTCTGTTGTGGTGTTACTCCCCGGCGTTACAAAAGACTCGGCCACAAAATGGATCCAGCAGGAATTCAACTCATGCGTCTTCGTCAGGGAGATCGCCCCATCGAAGAATACGTGGAGGACTTTATTCAGGTAGCCCACCTTACAGCTTTGGACAATTTGTGCCAGATGATATTTTTCCATGGCGGGTTATCTGAACCTCTGTATTCATGTATACCACTGTACGAACCCCACTGGACATTGGAAAAATACATTGATCTTGCACTGCAAATGAGTGGGTCTCCTTTCACTGTTGGCAAGGTGGAGGACACCCCTAAATATTTTTTGGGGGGGGGGCAAAGGACAGCAAGACCCGCTGGCAACGGGGCTTGCTGCTCATTCCACCACCACACACCCAGCTCAGAAAATGGCCGCATCTAGTCCTCCAGCTTACAAGATGGCTGCTCCAGCTCACAAGATGGCCGCCTCTAGTCCTCCAGCTTGCAAGATGGCCACCTCCAGTCTTCCAGCTTGCAAGATGGCTGCTCCAGCTCACAAGATGGCCGACTCCAGTCCTCCAGCTCACAAGATGGCCGACTCCAGTCCTCCAGCTCACAAGATGGCCGACTCCAGTCCTCCAGCTCACAAGATGGCCGACTCCAGTCCTCCAGCTCACAAGATGGCCGACTCCAGTCCTCCAGCTCCCAATGTGGTCACAACCAGCCCTCCAGCTCACAATGTGGTAAGCGCCAATCTGCCACCTGCTCACAAGATGGTTTCCTGTTCCTTGTCCGTTCCTGCCATAGTTCCTGTTTCAGTTCCTGAAATACCATCACCTGAGCCACCAGAATGGCCACCACCACCTGAGTTACAAGAGCTGATGCCACCACCAGAGCTGCCACCGCCAGAGCTGCCAGACCCTCCAGAGCTGCCAGACCCTCCAGAGCTGCCAGACCCTCCAGAGCTGCCAGACCCTCCAGAGCTGCCAGACCCTCCAGAGCTGCCAGACCCTCCAGTGCTGCCAGACCCTCCAGTGCTGCCAGACCCTCCAGTGCTGCCAGACCCTCCAGTGCCGCTGCCGCCAGAGCTACCAGAGCCACCTGAACCTCCAGAATGGCCGCCGCCGCCTGAGCTTCCTGAATGGCCGCCGCCTCCTGAGCTCCCTGAATGGCCGCCTCCTGAGCTCCCTGAATGGCCGCCTCCTGAGCTCCCTGAATGGCCGCCTCCTGAGCTCCCTGAATGGCCGCCTCCTGAGCTCCCTGAATGGCCGCCTCCTGAGCTCCCTGAATGGCCGCCTACTGAGCTCCCTGAATGGCCGCCTCCTGAGCTCCCTGAATGGCCGCCGCCGCCTGAGCTCCCTGAATGGCTGCCGCCGCCTGAGCTCCCTGAATGGCCGCCGCCGCCTGAGCTCCCTGAATGGCCACCGCCGCCTGAACTCCCTGAATGGCCGCCTCCTGAGCTTCCTGAATGGCCGCCTCCTGAGCTTCCTGAATGGCCGCCTCCTGAGCTTCCTGAATGGCCGCCTCCTGAGCTTCCTGAATGGCCGCCTCCTGAGCTTCCTGAATGGCCGCCGCCTGAGCTTCCTGAATGGCCGCCGCCGCCTGAGCTCCCTGAATGGCCGCCGCCTGAACTTCCTGAATGGCCGCCGCCTGAACTTCCTGAATGGCCGCTGCCACCTAAGCTTCCCCAATGGTCGCAGCCTCATGATCCAGAGCCTCCGCAGCTCCACGCTCCAGGCCCTCCGCAGCTCCACGCTCCAGGCCCTCCGCAGCTCCACGCTCCAGGCCCTCCGCAGCTCCACGCTCCAGGCCCTCCGCAGCTCCACGCTCCAGGCCCTCCGCAGCTCCACGCTCCAGGCCCTCCGCAGCTCCACGCTCCAGGCCCTCCGCTGCTCCACGCTCCAGGCCCTCCGCTGCTCCACGCTCCAGGCCCTCCGCTGCTCCACGCTCCAGGTACGCCCCCGCTGCATGGTCCTGGCCCTCCATCCCTCCCCCAGTTCCGCCTCCGCTCCACCTCCCGCCTGAACAGTATTAGGAGTGTCTGGAAGCCACTCCTTAGAGGGGGGCTCTGTCATGTTCACCAGCGAACAACCACCAGATGTCGCTGGTAAACACTCACTCATAAAACTACATATCTGCCTTCTTCTGGACTACATATGCATACATGCACTTCTCCTAGACACTCACACCTGCTCACTCATCCAGCTTGATTACATTTGCACACCTGAGGACTTTCAGAGACTGATTAACACACACTATTTAAGCCACACATTCACCCCTTCAGTTTGCCGAGTCTTGTTTATCTGTAAGGTGACATTACAACGCGTTATCCTGGTCTTGTTTTCCCGTGTTTTGTTCTTAGCCCTGTTTATCCTTGTCATCCTGTTTAGCCGCCTGCCTTACAACCTATTGCCTGTTTACTGACTACGATTCTGGATTTTCTACATATATCTGTTTGCTCCCGTATTGACTACTGCTTGCCTGACTGTGAATAAACCTGCACATTGGATCCTACCTTCTGTTGTGGTGTTACTCCCCGGCGTTACAGAGGAATGCAATGGAAACAAGCCCAGGGATTTATTGTGTTTTTATCCTCGACAGTTTTTATTTTGGCGAAACAGTGACGCAGTAGGTAGTGCTGTCGCCTCACAGCAAGAAGGTCGCTGGTTCAAGCCTCGGCTCAGCTGGCGTTTCTGTGTGGAGTTTGCATGTTCTCCCCGTGTTGGCGTGGGTTTTGTCTGCGTGCTCCGGTTTCCCTCACAGTCCAAACACATGCGCTATAGGGGAATCGATTAACTAAATTGGCTGTAGTGTATGAATGTGCATGTGATGGGTGTTTCACAGTACTGGGTTGCGGCTGGAAGGGCATCCACTGCGTAACATATGCTGGAATAGTTAGTGGTTTATTCTGCTGTGGTGACCCCTGATGAATAAAGAGACTAAAGCCCCGTTTACACTAATGCGTTTTAGTTTGAAAACGCATAAGTTTTGCTACGGTTACGCCATCCGTCCACACGATGCCAGGGTTTTTGAGCCCTGAAAACGGAGCATTTTGGTAATGCTGGAGCGGCTGTTTTCATTCTAAAATGCTGCTGCTCCGTCTCAGTGTGGATGGGGGAAAAACGCAGACATCTGAAAACGGAGGCAGGGCTGCTGAGATTCGCTACTTGATTGGGGCTTTTGTATCATTGCGTATCCTTCCCTTATTCACAAAGCCCCAATCACATGACTATAACACATGGCTTTAACGCTACCAGAAGACAACAGACCAGCCTTCACTGTAAACAACAACATGGACACAGAAATGGGTCACGTGCTATACGGACGGAGATATGTTCAAAAACGCTAGGTGAAACGCTAGTGTGGACGTGGATCGTTTCTGATCTAAAATGCCGTTTTCAAACTAAAACGCATTAGTGTAAATGGGGCCTAAGCCGAATGAAAAATGAATGAATGAATGAAAGATGAAGTCATTTCTCATAATCTGTCTGCTGACTCTCCTGTGTGTGTGTATAGATGGCTGGATCAGCTGTAACTCTGTGCTGTTGGCTCAAGTCGGTCTTGCATGAGCTGCAGGGTCAGAGCTGCTCTCCGACTGAGCTCTTCTATCAGGGAAACGCTCAGAGTGTCCGCGAGTGGCTGAGCATGGCCATCAGCAGAGCTCTGCATCAGGGGGAGGACAGTCTACTGGAGAGATCTGCTGCTTCCTGCAGGTACCACACACACACACACACACACACACATCATCATCATCATCATCATCATCATCGTCTTAAAACAGGTTCTTGGGAACTCGGGAGACTGCGAAAACACAAAAGAGATGGTTGCCTAAACTTCAAAAGACATTCCTGTCCCCCCTTCCTCCCGAGACACACAGACACACAGGGACACACACACAAGGCTCCCGACGCTGAAATGGACTCAGAACTCCTGAATCAGCCCATAAGTAAATGTTATGTGTTTGTAAACTTTGTATTTAATTTCGGACTTTTCTATCATGTGAATCTCTCTCTCATGCCCTTTTTAAGACACTATACCAGCTAAGAATGTGTGAATCATGTTGATGTATTTCTTAAAACTGTCGTGTTTAATACCGTTAGGTTTCTCCTGCCATTTTACAACACATGATGCGTAGCGCGTGATCGTAATCTATACAGCTTAAATGATTTAATGCTCTGAGTTAATGTCTCTTCGCATGCTTTCGGACGGACCCTTATTTTGCATATTAGCGGTCCAGAGACAAAGAAAATCTCCCGCTCAAACTTTGCCAGGAGACCATTGGTCAGTCAGTAGTTGACATGCCACCACAGTTTAAAACCCAGCTGCGCGCACAACTCTGCGCAGAAGATCCAAAAGAAGCTTTTCAAAAGGTGCGCCCCCATTCGAGGCGGCAAACCGCATTTCTGTAACTGCATGGCTCGTCCGAGCCCACGTTTTCTTATTTTTTTAGCAAAGTAAAACTCAGTTTAAAGTTGCGATCATGTATCCTCCGACCTGCATTGCAAACTCCACGCATCAAGAAAGGACAGATTTAATAGACGAGACCCACAGAAGAATCAAGATTTCGACATTCTGTTGAAGTCTATGAGAAACTCACACCTGAGCAACGCATGAGGCTTCAGTCTCCATGTGAGAGGCGTCTTTAAGCTGCGATCACCAAAAAATCCTTTTATATAAAGTATTAAATACGTTTCAACAGTTCAGTACTTTCTCCTTGTGTTGTTTCATTGTTATTACACAAAACTCATATTTTTTGGTTTTGTTTTATGTTTATGTTTGTATTGTTTGGGTTTTTACCAAAATCAGGTTCAATTCAATGTCAGCAGCTCTTATAGTAAAACATGACGTGTTTAATACTTATTTTCCCCACTGTACATTTATTTTATTTTAACAGTGATCTGCATTATTTTGCATTCTCTAAGTGAACAATCAGATTCATTAAGACCATTCCTGCTGACTTTAGCTCATATCTATATTTCTGTCCACAGGCGTGTCTCCCCCTCCTGGAGCAGTGCTGGTGTTGCACTCGTTGCTTCTTGAGTTTCCATTGGCGATGGTTTTCACTGAACAGCTGCTAACCTACAGTGTAGGAGAAACCATAGAGCGCTCTGAGGATGAGCTGGACACGGTGCCCACTTCTGTGCTCATTCAGGTCGTGGAGCTGCTAGGTGAGATATGCTCATTTAATTTGCTCTTGAGTTTATACAACCAGAGGTGTAGAAAATCAATCCTGGACACCCCTGCCCTAGACATTATATGTTGCATTCAACACATTGCTGTTTTGTTTATTTCTACAGTTTGTTTTCCTTTTCATTAAGTCTTTAAGGGTCTTAAATGTGCTTTTATAATGTCACGATACTGGAATTCGGTACCAATCGATACTGAAGTTTAAAAAAAAAAAACAGGCTCATTCTGAAAGCGTAGTCCCATGGACATTTCTGGAGACCGCGAAATACGTCCCGGGAGGTAACTATTTTTGCACTTTTTGTTTTCGCGAATCCACAAGAGGCTGCTGTGTTTTTCAGATCTCAAATTTCTTGAGTAAGTTCTCCCGCTAGTGCCGTTTGCGCCCGCTGTCCACGCGTAAACCCACCGGAGGCCACTGTTGACCGACCTGACTCTCTGTCTGACTGAATTTCTAACTGGCCAGCTGACCAATTGACTGACCCACCCTCCTCCTTCCCTAAATCCAACCAGTTTTATCGATTGAACCGCCCACTCACTTACTTCCCTAAACTCAACCAATGATTTTCAAAAGCCATTCAGAAAAAGAAAAGCCCTCGTCTGATTTTTACCATGTTTTTTGATTTTACCACATTCTCACCCTGTTATTCACTCATTCATTTTATTTTTTTGATTCTGTTTTTGTTTTACCTGATTTCTGGAACCGCTTTTCCCTGGACTCGAATCTCGTCATCATCGTCATCCTGGTCAACTCCTTTCTGGCGTCTCAAGTCCGTTGACGTACACGATGAGGTAACTGGACAAACTGGTTGCGGTGGGAAAGCCCTCCACAGTTAGCGTTCGTTTAAAAAGAATTTAATGCAGCCATACCATACGTACCTCCGGCTACATAATTCGCGGTCTCCAGAAACGTCCACGGGACTATGTTTTCAGAACGAGCCTGTAATGTTGTTTAAAAGCGTCCATTTCACGCTAACATTTGAGCGCCATTGAGCGTGTTCTTAAACAGCGCTGATTTGCCATTGTGGTCACATGCTCAACAGAAATGACTGCAATTGGCCGTGAAGGTCATCAGTTTACCGAACTCACCGCTGTTTACTTAGTGTAACCACACATACAAGGACACTGTGTTTTAAATTCACATCCATCAGCTGATTTGACTATAAGCTGACATATGAGCAATCCGCTGATGAATCACGGCTTTAAAATGCTCCAGTGTAACACAGATATCATATACAGTTATTTTGAACACTTTCTATAGTGCTTTATGAAACTTCAAAGGGTTTTCTTTAAAATGATACTAAATTTTTGCATTTACACCTCTGCGTGTGGATTTTGGAAGCTTTTAAATTTGGGTAGGCAAAAACCAGGTGGAAATCCCAAAATAGCACTGGGTTTAAGAGGCTAATGAAATCTTATTGCTAAGTGTGACCGATTAAATATTTAAAGCTGCAATCTTATACATATATTTATTTATTTATTTATACATGCATACAGTTGAAGTCATTTTTTCCCCTTTTTTTAAAGTATTTCCCAAACGATGTTTAACAGAGCAAGGACTTTTTCACAGTATGTCTGATAATATTTTTTCTTCTGGAGAAAGTCTTATTTGTTTTATTTTAGCTAGAATAAAAGCAGCTTTTTTTTTTAAATCACCATTTTAAGGTCAATATTATTAGTCCCTTTAAGCTTTATTTTTTTTTATAGTCTACAGAACAAACCATCGTTATACAATAACTTGCCTAATTACCCTAACCTGCCTAATTAACCTAATTAGCCTAGATAAGCCTTTAAATGTCACTTTAAGCTGTATAGAAGTGTCTTGAAGAATATCTAGTCAAATATTATTTACTGTCATCATGACAAAGATAAAATAAATCAGTTATTAGAAATGAGTTATTAAATCTGCTATGATTAGAAATGTGTTGAAATAATTTTCTCTCTGTTAAACAGAAATTGGGAAAAACAATAAACAGGGGGATTAATAATTCTGACATCAACTGTATACACATACATACATACATTATTTCTAAGTATATACAGAAGATTAATAAGGGATATAATGTGAGAGGTGAATTTAGGAATTTTACACCCGTGAATATTATTATTTTATCAACTCTATTCAGTCAAATATAAATCACTCTTGCAGGTAGGTTTAGTTCTGTGACCGAATATCTTCAGATAAGAAACTGTTCCGCACTCAATCCTTCATTAAATAAACTGAAGCAGCTGAGGAGACAAAGGTTTCTGCTAAAAGCTTCTGTAAACCAACAGAAACTGGTTATTTTTCAATAGATGTATATGTTAAAACTTTAAAAATACCAACACACACACAGAGAAAGTCAATGTTTTCAGATTATTTTATTGGCTTGACAAATGTTACATATGTATCTCCAAAGCATTTGTGATGCTTACATTAAATAGGACATATAAAAACAATTGACATAGTAGTGGTGGTTTTTCTAATAAATAATAATTAACAGCACATTAACAATCATCTGTAGGATAAAACAATAGTAATAAATAGTTTATCTAATAGTCAACAGATTAAGATTCATTTATAAACAATTTAGAATCCTGTTTGTGTGCGCACACACGCGCTCCCAGCTGATGGTTGCTTAGCAACGACAGTCATAGAATGTGTTCTATAGTAGTTCTATGTTAAAACAGCTCATCTCAGTTTGCCAGCATTCAGGACGGTGACTTGGTAAATCACACAGTTACTGTACGAATTGACAAATCTGTGATTGTGAAGGACTCGTTCGCTATGGATACTCACTATAATCAGTCTTCAGACAACCCTCATCACGAGTGGTCATCGGTTGTTCTGACTTTGGACCCAGATGTGGACGAACAAGAACTGATTGAGTCAATGAAACAGTTCAGCCAAATCCACTCTTTGGATTTTTCTTTTGATGAAGACACTAATTGCAGACACATTTATGTGACTTTTGAGCATTCAGGACGGGACCAGCAACCAGATCCTGTGGTCCCCACGAGCCGCTTTATTGAGCTGAAGACACTGCTCGTGAGCAATCTGCACCCAATGGTCACCGAACAACAGCTTATTGAAAAGTTTGGTGCATTGGGGTCCATCTCGACTGTGCAAGTGTGCAGAAACAACATCATCTCTCCTGCTTATGCCTTTGTGACTTTCCATCATCGACGTGATGCAGTGCGAGCACAAAAAGCTCTGAACTTCACTGATTTACTGAATAAACCTCTGATCATCATGTGGGGTCCAGACAAGACAATTGAGGTCCTCTCAGATAATGACAGCAGCTCTCCAAGACAAACAGAGGAGAGAGAGACAGCTGGAGAAACAGAGGAGAGAAAGACCAGTGGAGAAACAGAGAGAAAGGCCGCTGGAGATACAGAGGAGAGAAAGACCAGTGGAGAAACAGAGAGAGAGGCCGCTGGAGATACAGAGGAGAGAAAGACCAGTGGAGAAACAGAGAGAGAGGCCGCTGGTGAAACAGAGGAGAGAGCGAACAGCGAGTCTTCATGGGGAAGAAGGATCTCCAACAATGTGAAAAGTGCTGTGAAAGCTGCGGTGAGCAGTCCAGCAGCCTGGGTCGGAGTCGGCATAGGTGTCTGTGCTGCTTATGCCTACTTCAGGAGCAGGAGCTAGTGTGGACACTTTCTAAAAGGTAATTTCATCTCATTTAAGTGACATGACATCTGACTAAGCTTAGTAACACTTCTGGAACATGCTGTATGTCACACACACATATGTATATATAGAATTCTCTGTGGGTCAGAGGTCATGTTAATTCATACTCAAATTCAGCTTCATTTAGACATCGACACTGATTTTCTTGACTCTGTTCTCTTCCAGACGAGAAGGCCTGCCTCACGATCTCCACTCATCATCCCCAGAGTGACCAATCACTGCTCCAGAAAGAACTTGATTTCCCCAGCAGGCCAAACACTTGCAATAAATGTGAATTGAATAAACTGTCTTGTGTGTGTCTCATTCAGCAGTAAAGCTCAGCCTTGTAATTTATATTCATCCAAGAGAAGCATAATAGCACTTTGTTCCAGACACAGAAGTAAACAATAGGATTTTCTTGACATCTATTGATGTGTTAGACAATAACTTATAGACCGTTTGAGAAGAAGGACTGCATCAAAGAACAATCAAATGTAGAATTGCAAATCAGGATTTCAATTATAATGTACAGTGGGTTCTAATAATGTCTGTACAGGAAGATATTCTGAAGAATGTCGGAAAAAAGCAGCTGTTGACTTCCATAGTATTTTTCGTTCCTACTATTGTGGGTTTTTTCTGTACCACTTTATTTTGATGGTTAGATCATCTTTATTTTGAGTATTAGTAGACTGTCTGCTTAATATCTGCTGATTCTGCTCCTTCAACAGACATTTAACTGACTGTAAGAAACTTTGCAAGTGCATGTCAACTTACCCTAACCCCAACCCAACAGTCTAATGAAAATTAGTTGGCATGTACTGTAGATACAATGTAACTTAAATTCGACAAACTGACCATCAAAATAAAGTTTGGCTGTTTTTCTTTTACAACATTTTTCAAAATATCTTCTTTTGTGTTCAACAGAAGAAAGAAATTCAAGGTTTGAGACCACTTGTGTGTGAGTGAATGATGAGTAAATGTTCATTTCTGTGTGAACTGTCCCTTAAACGCTGGCTTAAAATATGTGATTTGTTTAAGAAATGTGGTTAAACATGCATGTTTCAGTGAAAATGATTTGAAGTATATTGTATGATGTAGATATTGACTTGTTGCCACTTATTGGCCTGAAGTGATACTGTCTTAAAGGGGGCCTATTATGCAAAATCACTTTTATAAGTGGTTTAAACAGTTGTGTGACAGCAGTGTGTGAATAACCAATGTGCAAATTACAGGGGGTTTGGGGGGTTTGACCCCCTCCAATACCGCTTGAAAGCCTCTGAAGGACTTTAAAACAAGATGTATGAGAGGTGGGTCAGCACGTTAATAGTAAGAAAATGCTTTCTCTGATCTATGTCCTTATTATTAATAATAAAAAAGTATAATGTAAATATAGATTTGAGCGGTTCATAGAGTTGTAAATGCATAATCGTGCCAATCAATGCTAGGAAAATATCATTCAACAGTCTGAAAATAGCAGCTCTTGAGGACCAATACCATCTCAAGTATACACAAAGTACATTTCTTGTAAAATACTGTAAGTGTTTTTATCGGCATGTAGCCTAATAAAAAAATAAAAATGGACACATAATTTGTATAGTTTGACCTACAGTAACCTCTAAAAGTCACTAAATATCCCTCAAAACACTGAAAACTTATGCCCAGAGATGGGTTGTGTCTGGAAGGGCATCCGCTGCGTAAAAACTTGCTGGATAAGTTGGCGGTTCGTTCCGCTGTGGCGACCCTGGATTAATAAAGGGACTAAGCCGACAAGAAAATGAAAAATTTAATTGTTATTTTAATACATTCATACATTTAGTTCTCTAAAGCATGTATTACCAAACTACTAGCAAAAAGTTGGTACTACTACCCCCCACAAATGCACATGCATTGATTTCTGACATGTTAAGTGGAAATTACTTGAAAGTACATTGTAGTTCGTCATAAAAGCATGTTACTGTATACCACTGTAATCAGGCAACATATGAAAGTATAGATAGCTTAAAACACTCTTGTCAGCTAATCACATTTAATTTTGTATTGAAACTTTTATTTAACTGCCGTTTACTACATTTATATTCTATACTTATTAAGTATATTTTAATATATTAGCCGTTGAAGAAGTGTATTATCCCTGTGAAATATTTCTCTAGTGCTGTTTAACAGAGCAAGGACATTTTTCATGATGTTTCTTGGTAAATATTTTTCTTCTGGAGAAAATCTTATTTGTCCTAGTTTAGCTGGGAAATAGGTCAATAATATTAGCCCCCCTATAATAAATATATATTTTAATTCCTTTCACTTATATAGCATTTTTCTGGACACTCAAAGCGCTTTACACACATTTTTGCTGGAATCTCCTCATGCACCGCCAGTGTGCAGCATCCATCTGGATGACTTGACGGCAGCCATATTGCGCATCAGCTGATTGGTGGAGAGGAGAAAGATTAAGATTAAGCTAATTATAATATGGGGATGGTTAGGAGGCCAAATTTGGCCAGGATGTCAGGGTGAAACCCCAACTCTTTTTCGCAGGACATTTTTTTTTCTCTTTTTCCTGGGATTTTTAACGACCACAGAGGATCAGGACCTCATTTTAACATCTAAGCAGTATAGAGACCCCGTCACTTTACTGGGGTGTTAGGACCCACGCAAACCACAGATTAAGCACCCCCTACTGTTCTCACTAACATTACTTCCAGCAGCAACCTAGCTTTTCTATGTGGTCTCCCATCCAGGTACTGACCAAGCACAGCCCTGCTTAGCTTCAGTGGGCGACCATGTGGGAGCTGCCGGCTAGCTAGCTGTTTGATTGGCTACAGAATTTTAAGTTCGTTTTACAATGACTTGTCTAATTGACCTAATTAACCTAGTTAAGCCTTTAAATGTTGCTTTAAGCTGAATACTACTATCTAGAGAAATAGCTAAGGAAATATTATCCGCCGTCTCCATAGAATTATTAAAGAATTATGTATAAGAGTTGTTTTTGAAAAACTATTTCACAAATGGGCAAATGATTTTGTATTTAGTTGTATATTCCTTAGTAAGAATCTAAAAGTAAGTGATTGAAAATAGGGTCGGTGTGCACATCCTACGAAAACTTCAAGCAGGTGCTCGATCAAATGTGTGAATGATCTGCTTTTATCTCGATGTTTCTCAACAGTGCCAGAAGAGAAGTTTTTGAAGCTGGAAGTTTTCCACAAGTTTACTCTAGACAGAGCCAAGCAGGACATCCGCAGTGTTTGGCGGGCGATCCTGGCCTGTGGATATGACCTGCACTTTGTTTGCAGGTTTTAAAATGATCTTTGGCTTCACCACATCAGCGCTCACATCACACATATCACAGAAAAACAGGCAACACAAATACATTCAATATCATCACATAAACCACATTAAAAACTCAATTATTAATGAAATTCTAATGGCAGTCGGCACAAAGGACATTTGATACACAGTTTTCGTTACTTGGGGCAGTCTAATACATCTTTTTCTAGGCAAAAGCCTAGATCCATTGATTCCCGACATGCTCAAAAAGCCAGCAGAAAATGGAGCTTTGAGATGGACTTTGCATTGGTGCAGATTGTGAACCGTCTCAGCCGTCACCTGGCCATCACTCCTGCCCGTCTGCATCCACATGAGGTTTACCTGGTCGCCAGCAAAAATGGCGCCGATCCTGAGGTTGCGTGTCTGTTAAGCAAGTCCATCTCTGTGTTATCTTGTTCACAGATGAAGAGTTCAGATGCAAAAGCCTGTCAAGGGCTGTTTATTATTATTATTATTATTATTATTATTATTATTATTATTATTATTATTATTATTATTATTATTGTTATTGTTATTGTTATTTTATACAGCTGAAGTCAGAGATATTAAACCCCTGTATATTTTTCCTGCAATTTCTGTTTAAGGGAGAGAAGATTATTCCAACACATCCTAATCATAATAGTTTTAATAACTCATTTCTATTAACAGATTTCTTTTCTCTGTGGCATAATGACAGCACATAATATTAGACTAGATATTCTTCAAGACTCTAGTAATCTGCTTAAAGTGACATTTAAAGGCTAAACTAGGTTAATTAGGTTAAAGTTATAATTAGGCAAGTCATTGTATATCAGTGGTCTGTTCACAATCAAAAAACAAATATAGCTTGGAGGAGCTAATAATATTGCCCTTAAAATGCTTTTAATCTAGCCAAAACAAAACAAATCAGACTTTAGAAGAAAAAATATTATAGGAAAAACGGTGAAAAATTCCTACATCTGTTAAACATCGTTTGGGAAATATTTGAAAAAGAAAAAAGGATGGATGTGCAGTGAATGTGATCGTGTCCCCACAGGTGTCCCAGTGGAGAGTTTGCGTCTGCTACCAGAACAGCATCGGCACGCTTCTGTGTGAGGCCAAAGGTCAGTATTCAAATAACAGGCAATCAAATGTAATTTTAATTATTGTTAATCCGGTAACACTTTAGAATAATGGTCCACTTTTTAATGTATTTAGTAATGTCGACCAAGGATGAATAGTCTTGTAGAGTATTTATTAATCATTGTTCATCATTTACTATTGCATTATTTATTCATTCATTTTCCCTTCGGCTTAGTTATGGAAATAGATTTGTTTCTTTTTTTTTATTCAATCAAAAATATTTAGTTGTAAAGAAAAATTAATCACGTAGTAATTAAAAAAGAAAAGATTTCAAATAAAAACAGGTTTAATTAAAAAACTTATGTCAATGATAATAAAATATTTTGGTGACAAAGTCACTAAGTTGGCAACACTGCCGGTGACTCCGGTCTAATCGCGAGAAAATGTAATGGGCGTGGCCAACCTGTGACCGCAGTCAAGATTGGCCAACAGAACATGGTTTTTCAGAAGATCCCGCCCACTGAGCTGCAGTCTTCAACTCTCAAGTAAAGATTTTAGATCCGCAAAAAATGAAACAAAAGCAAAGGCAGAACTAATAAGCACACAATTAATTAATCTGGTGGTAACTGCATAAAATGGCAATAGTTAATTTTTTGCAGTGTAATTTTTTTATTTTAATGTTTTTTTTATTATTTGAAATCTTTTATTTTTTAATTGCATTGTACCTAATTTTGGTCAAAAACTTCATGTTTGTTTGAATAATAAAGACACAAAATTAACCTCAGCGTACATGGGTTCAAAACTTTCAAACTCACAAGCAAAACATTTCAACCCGCAAGCAAAGATTCTAGATGTGCAATAAATGACAGCAGAACAGTCTGGAAAATCAATGAGTGTGCAATGAAAATTGTGGAAACTGCATAATAGGACAAGTGTATTTAGCC